AGAAGGCCTCCTCCTTCTCGTGCCCCCCCCCCCTCGCTCGCCGCCGAGCTTTCCTTGCCTCTGCGGTCCTGCGCGCTCATTGCCGCCAGGCCACGTCTCTGGCAGGAGGGCATGCACGCCCGCGGAGGCCCTTGTCAAAGCGCCGCCCCTGGGCGCTTCGGCCGCCGCAGCCAGGGGCAAGGAGGACAAGGGGGGAAGGGAGAGGGAGGAGGGGGGAGAGGGACAGGACAGGGAGGAGGGAGGAAAAAGGGGGGGGGGAAGGAGGGGGAAAGACGGGAGGATGAGGGGAAAAGGAGGATGGCGGGAGAGCAGGGAGGACGGTGGAAGGAAAAGGAGGAGGAGGAGGACCAAGAGGAGGTAGAGGAGGAGGAGGAGGAGGAGCAGGAGCAGGAGAAGAGATGCTAGAGACAGGAATAGAGGAGGAGTGAGAACAGAGGAGGGACTCCCTCCGAAGTCATCGGTTCTCCGTCCCCCGCCATCCTCCTACTCCTCCTCCTCCTCCTCCTCCTCCTCTTCCTCCAGATCGTTACCATCCTCATCCTCATCCTCATCACCACCACCATCATCACGATCATCCCTGCCTACCTCCCCCTCCTCCTCCTCCTCCTTCCTACTCCTGTTCCCACCTGCTCCCTTCCCAGCTGTTCCTTGAAGACAACTGCCCCCTGTCCCAATCCCAGACGTGTTAGTAGGGCGGGCCGGGCGATTCGCCTGAGACTTCCTCACCATTGGCAATCCTGCAGCGTGACGTTTGCACTGGCTACAAGGATGGAGAAGGGTCGTTTTCAGAATGAAGCTTTCGCCTTAGCGCCGCGCACATTCATCTTCAAAGCTTGCAGAAATTTCAAGGATTGAGGGGGGGTCGTTCTCAAAATGGTACTCTCGCCTTGTTGCAATGCCCATTGGTCTTAGAAGCTTGCAACAGCTACAAGAATGGAAGGGGTCGTTTGCAATATGCAGCTATTGCCCTAGCGCCGCGCACATTCGCCTTCAAAAGATACACCAGTTACAAAGATGGAGGGGAATCGGTTTCAAAATGTGACTCTCGCCGCAGCGCCGCGCACATTCGTCATTACAGTCGGCAACGATTACCAGGATCGAGGGGGTCGTTTGCAAAATGGAGCTCTTGCCTCAGCGCGGCGAACATACGTCTTAAAGGATTGCACAAGTTACAACGGTGGAGGGGTGTCGCTTTCAAAATGGGGCGATCGCCTTAACGCCGCACAGATTCGCCTTCAAATACTTCAGCAATTACAAAGATGGAGGGCGGTCCCTTTCTTTCAACATCGGGCTCTCGCCTGAGCACTGCGCACATTCGTCGCACAAGGCTGCAGCAGTTACACGGAGAGCGTGTCCTGTTCAAAATGCCGTGTTCGCTTGGAACTTCCTGAAAACCGAAATTTCGAACTGGTGTGATAGCTGCTCGGATGGAGGGCGGTTCCAGCTCAAAATGGTGCTCTCGCTTTAGCCGTCCTCGAAGCTCCTGACCAGGAGTGCAAAGCGTGCAACTGCTACACACTTGGGATCTCGCTGGCCACCTCACTGAATTGTATGATCGTACCTTCTCGCATTCCCGGATACCCGCTCGAAACTGCAAGGCAGCTCCGTCTCAAAACGGGGCTTTCGCCTAAATGGCAGGCTCATAGGGTGCTGGTTGTTGAAGGGAGCCCCTTTTGTTGAGAAAAGGAAGGGTGATTGCGGGGACTGGTGAGAAGGGCACTTGGGATGTGAGGGTGTCTTGCAGCAACGTTGATGCATACTGGATTTGTCCGCCTTCTCCTCATTACCACCACCACCACAACCATCATCATCATCATCATCATCATCATCATCATCATCATCATCATCACCATCATCAGCATCATCATCATCATCATCATCATCATCATCATCCTCATCCTCATCCTCATCCTCATCCTCATCCTCATCCTCATCCTCATCACCATCATCATCATCAGCAGCAGCATCATCCATCATCATCATCATCATCATCAGCATCATGATCATCATCATCATAATCAGCATCATCATAATCATCATCATCATCATCATCATCATCATCATCATCATCATCGGCATCGTCATCGTCATCGTCGTCATCATCATCATCATCATCATCATCATCATCATCATCATCATCATCGTCATCGTCATCGTCATCATCATCAGCATCATCCTCATCATCAGTATCATCAGCATCACCCTCATCATCGTCATCATAATCAGCATAATCATTATAATCATCATCATCATCATCGTCATCATCATCAGCAGCACCATCATCATCATCATCATCATCATCATCATCATCATCATCATCATCACAGGCGGCATCAACATCATCATGATCATCATAATCAGCAGCAGCATCATCGTCACAATGATCATCATCATCATCATCAGCAGCAGCATCATCATCACCATCCCCATACTCATCCTCATCCTCATCATCCTCATCCTCGTCCACGTCCTCATCCACATCCTCGCCCTCGTCCTCGTCCTCCGCCACGCCCTCATCATCATCGTCATCATCAGCATCATCAGCAGCATCATACACATCATCATCATCATAATCATCATCAGCGGCAACAGCATCAGCATCAACACCAGCATCATCGTCATCATCAGCATCATCATCGTCATAATCATCAGCATCACCATCATCATCATCATCATCAACAGCATCATCATCACCACCATCATCATCAGCATCACCATCATAGACGCCATCAACATCAGCATCATCATCATCGTCATCATCATGAGCATCATCATCATCATCATCATCATCATCATCATCATCATCATCATCATCATCATCATCATCGTTATCGTCACCGTCATCAACATCATCAGCAGCGGCATCATAGTCGTCATCATCATCACCAGCACAAGCATCAGCAGTATCGTCATCATCATCAGCATCAGCATGATCATCATCATGGTCGTCATCATCATCAGCATCCGCCGCATCAGCATCATTATCACAATCAGCATCATCACCAGCATCAAGATCATCATCATCATCATCTTCATCATCATCATCATCATCATCATCATCATCATCATCATCATCATCATCATCATCATCATCATCTTCATCAACATCATCATCATCGTCCTTGTCGTCCTCGTCGTCATCATCAACATCATGAGCATCATCAGCATCATCATCGTCCTCATCGTCATCATCGTCATCGTCATCGCAAGCATGATCACCGTCACCATCAGTACCATCATCAAGATCACCATCGTCAGCATCATCATTATCAACATCGTCAGCAGCAGCATCATCGGCATCATCATCATTAACATCATCATCATCGTCGTCATCATCAGCAGTATCATCATTATATTACTATTCATCCTCATCAGCATCGTCATCAGCAGCACCACAACCATCATCATCATCAGCATCGTCGTCATGAGCAGCAGCACCACCATCATCATCGTTATCAACACCATCATCGGCATCATCGTCATCATCATCAGCATCAGCATCTTCCTCATCATCATCATCAGCATCGTCGTCATCATCATCAGCAGCACCATCAATACCTTCTTCATCATCATCGTCATCATCATCGACACCATCATCATCATCATCGTCATCATCATCATTATCATCAGCATCATCAGCATCAGCATCAGCATCAGCATCAGCATCATCATCATCATGATCATCAGCATCAGCATCAGCATCAGCAGCAGCAGCAGCATCATCATCATCATCATCATCATCATCATCATCATCATCATCATCATCATCATCATCATCATCATCATCATCATCCACCTCCCCACTCCCCTCCCTCCCTCCATCCCTCGCTCCCTCCCTCCCTCCCTCCCTCCCTCCTCTCCTCCTCCTCCTCCTCCTCCTCCCTCCTCTCTCCTCCTCCCCCTCCTCCTCCTCCTCCTCCACCTCCTCCTTCCTCCACTCCCTCCTCCTCCTCCTCCTTCTCCTTTCCTCCTCCTCCTCCTCCTCCAACTCCTCCTCTCTTCTCCCCTCCTCCTCCTCCTCCTCCTCCTCCTCCTCCTCCTCCTCCTCCTCCTCCTCCTCCTCCTCCTGCCTCCTCCATCTGCCCTCCCCCCTCCGACTGCTCCCTCCTCCTGCTGTCTCCCTCCCCCCTCCTTCCCTGTCCCTCCTTCCTGTCCTCTCCCACCCCCCTCCTCCTCATCCTCATCATGGGACGCACAGAGACATACTAATACTATGTGTCCTCCTTGGAGGCGCGCGTCCGACCCAAACATATCGTATACCCATCTTGTAGTATATCGTTTCCCGAGCGGCGTGGCCAGAAAGCGCCTGCCACGACGCATATACTACAAGATTTCTCGGCGTGCGCATCGCCCCCGGCGAGGCGACGCACATATAGTATAAGTATGTTGGGGTGCATCACTGTCAGCCCTCCCTCCCTGCCGGACGGCTCGGCGGGCGCCGCCGCGCCGCCGCGCGCTTCCCCTTCTGGGAGGCGTCTCGGGCGCGGCGCGTGGCTGCTCTGGCACGGCAGCGATGGCCATGACCAAGGCTGCACGCGGAAACGTCGACGCCGATCCTGGTCTCATCGCTCCTCTCGGCCACCGTCAGTTCGTGGATCATCCTCGCGAGTCGGCGGCCGCCGGCACGGACCGTGGCAAAGATGGGCGGCGACAGGATCATGTGGCATCGTGGTCATGGTCATCGTGTTGCTTCCTTCGAACCCGGGGGGCTCTCCCCAGAACCAGCTCTCCATCCTGAGTCGTCTTCTGCAAGACCCGGGGCCCGAGGAGGGTCCCGAGGGCTCCGAAAGCGGTGGAAAGCACCGCTTCCCTCAGGAGCCCTCTCCCTCATGGACAGAACAACGAGGCAGAACGATGCCGCTACTCCTTGGACCTCTCCTGAGGTGCGTTGCGACCAGAGCGTCGAGGAGAATCCACCTGCGGCGACGAGGGCCTCTCCAGGACGAGCAGCGCTCTGGCAATTAGCCTGACCTTCCTTTGGGGCGCCTGCTACTCGCTACCACAGCTCCGACGGCAGGTCCACCTCTGCCACCGCGAAGCTCCGGAGGCTGACGGGGTCCGCGAGCGACTCCAGGCACCGGAACCTCACCTGCCGGGGCGGGCTGCGGACCCAGTCCACCACGTCCACCACCATGGCGCCCACGCTCAGGCCGTGGATGCAGCCGGTCGACGTCTGCGTAGAAACCACCTCGGGAGAGGAGGAAAAGGTACCGGCACCGCTGCCCTTCCCCCGCTTTCGCCCGCGGCTGGATCCGCCGCCAAATCCTGCACAGAATGCACCCCAAGGGAGGTCCGCGGAGCAGCGGTACCCGCCAGTCAGAAGAAGTAGGTGGAAATGTGAAGTAGGAAGGCGGGTAAAGTCGACTGGGTTAGGGCCCGTCCAAAGAGCAAGTGAACAACAACAGCAACAACAGCGACAACAACGACGACGACGACAACGACAACGACGGCAACGACATCGACAGCGACAACGACAACGACAACGACAGCGCAAACAACAACAACAACAACAACAACAACAACAACAACAACAACAACAACAACAACAACAACAACAACAACAACAACAACAACAATCACTTTACCCGAACGCTCAGTGTTCTCACCAGTGCCAGGGTTTTCATGCGACGCCAGCCAATACCCCCACTTTGTGGGGGGGCAGTGCAAGCTCTACCAAATATCCACACGACTCTTCGCCACCACCCACACCCAGCTTCCCGCCCTATGACGTTCGGACACTTCACTTCGTGGCCTGCGGACGACCGTGGCTACTACACTGGCGTGGAGTACACACCCACAGAAGTTGTTGTTAACCCACAGAAGTTGTTAAGCCTTCCACAGAACATCTGTTGCATATGATGCACTGGCATTGATTTTTTAGGATTCTGAGCGCGCGCGGGTGAATTTTTGAAATCGTGGGCGAGGACCTACGGTGCGATTCGTGTGATTTTATGATGCGCGGTGCTAAAATTCTTAAGAACCCAATGGTTTTTGGAGATTTCGGCGTGCGCGCGCGAAGAAAAAACGAATGTGTCCCGCATGGTATTATTTGACAGGGATGATGGCCCTGGCAGGTGCGCAACCGTTGTCGCAGAAGTTCGAAAAAGTTGCTCGCAAAAGCCCGTTTGACAGAAATGTTTAAAAAGTGTTGGGTTTCCTACGAATCCGCAAGAGCGCGCGGGATGAGATTTTGACATTTTTTTGTTGAAAAACCATTGTTTTTTTGATGTTTTTATGTTAAAATCGTTGCGAACACTAAGGTTTTGGAAGGATTTCGTCTTGCGCGCGCGAATGTCCACTTTACCTTATTTTTTGCAAGGGATTCTTGAAATTTGATTATATTAGAACAAGAAATGTCATTTTCTATTGTTTTTTGCAAGGGAAAGCGGATTACAACAAAACAACCGGATCCTGTACACACCCTCTTTTCTGAGGCTTCCTCACGAAAATGATGAAAATGTAGCTGCGGCCTAGGCGGCGCAGGGGGGGCGCGCACCAGGGGGCCCAACAATAATTATTCTTTAGAATAAATAATGTTCAACAGCAACAGCAACAGCAACAACAACAACAACGACAACATCCACAGCATCAACAACAGCAACAGCGACAACAACAACAACGACAACAACAACGACGACGACAACAACAGCAACGACGACGACAACAACGACAACAACAATGACAACGACAGCGACAATAACAACAGCAACAACAACAACAGCAACGACGACGACAACAACGACAATGACAACGACAACAACAACGACAGCGACAACGACAACGACAACGACAACAACAATAACAACAACAACAAAAACAACAACGACGACAACGACAACGACAACGACAACAACCACTACAACAACAACTACAACAACAACAACGACAACAACGACAACAACAACAACAACAGCAAGCAGTTTAAGACTGTTCGCTCTTATCTGCTCGCGTGCCATTCAACACGTATATCCCAAACCCTCTGTACCCGCCCTCTTCGTCTTCGATCGGGGGAGGGAGAAGGATAGGGCACGGAACTAGCAGGAGGGGGGCTAGGAGCAGAAAACACGTGGCAAACCCAGACGGGTCCGCTGGGCAGGTAGACCCTACCGGGCAGGTCGGGAGGGTGGGCCCAAACGGCCAGGTCGAGAAGGCGTGCTGCTTAAGCGTGAGTACTGCATGAATCGCAAGAAATTCTCGAGCGATAGCCCGATTCACAAGTAAATCGTGAGAAAGGCCAAAGCAAGAGCGTGATTCCTGAGTGTCGAGGGCGCGGCGTTTGAATAAACTTCGAGAAAGTCCCACGCGAGAGCGCGATGCCTGCATAAAGTGTGAGGAAGTTCAACCACCACAACAACAACAACAACAACAACAACAACAACAACAACAACAACAACCACAACCACAACCACAACCACAACCACATCCACAACCACAACCACAACCACAACCACAACCACAACCGCAACCACAACCACAACCACAACCACAACCACAACCACAACCACAACCACAACCACCACCACAACAACAGCAGCAGCAGCAGCATCAACAACAACAATAACAACAACAACAACAACAACAACAACAACAACAACAACAACAACAACAACAACAACAACAACAACAACAACAACAGCAACAGCAGCAACAGCAACAGCAACAACAAAAGCAGCAGCAGCAGCAACAGCAAAAATAACAGCAGCAGCAGCAACAACAGCACCAGCAACAGCAACAGCAACAACAACATGTCGATTCTTGAAGTAGGAAGGCATTTGAAGAACAGTGGGATCTGGATACCGAGAAACACCCACTTTCAACGAATGGCGCGTATTGGTACTCTTTGGTTCGCCCACCACCGGCGCGGCGCACGGCGGCGCCAGGGGCACCCACGTGCTGAACCCCTGCAGCGCCTCCACGGTGTAGGCTGCCAGGCGCTGGCTGGCGGCGCGCACGGGGGGGTGGCGCAAGGGGGGGCCAGGCTTCCCAGGAGGCGGAGGGCTCCCTAGGATCGAGTAGAGGATCGACTACAGAATTGATTTGCACCACACTTGATTCTCCCCATCGAATCTACGACGGATACGTAGAGTGTTCGTAAACCTATTGAGCGTTCGCAGTCTTTATCCGCAGATCCGACGAGGAGATCAATTTTGGGGTAAGTCAATCATGTAGTCGATCCCCTACTCGATCGAAGGCAGGGGCCTTGTCAGCAGGGCTCGGAGGCTCCTGAGGAGGTCGGAAGCAGGAAGGGCTTCCAGGGGGCGTGAGCTCGACTCACCCGAGTCCCGATTCGCCCGACTCGATTCGCCCAGCTCGATTCGCCAGGGCTCGATTCGCCCGGCTCGATTCGCCCAGTTCGAATAGCCCAGGCTCGATTCGCCCGGCTCGATTCGCCCAGGCTCAATTCGAGAGAGTCTCGATTCGCCCGGCTCTGCCCGCCCGACCCGACGCGCCCGTCAGGGTCCGCCCGCCCGACCCGACCCGCCAGTCCGGGCTCGCCCGTGCTAACTCGATGATGCGTCATACTTGAATGTCCCGCCCGCCCGACCCGACCCGCCCGTCAGGGTCCGCCCGCCCGACACGACCCGCCCGTCAGGGTCTGCCCGCCCGACACGACCCGCCAGTCTGGGCTCGCCCGTGCTAACTCGATGATGCGTCATACTTTAATGTCCCGCCCGCCCGACCCGACCCGCCCGTCAGGGTCCGCCCGCCCGATACGACCTGCCCGTCAGGGTCTGCCCGCCCGACCCCCACCCGCTCATTAGGGCTCACGCGTGCTACCCCGATGATGCTTCGTACTTGAATGTCCCGCCCGCCCGACCCGACCCGCCCGTCGGGGTCCGCCCGCCCGACCCGACCCGCCCGTCAGGGTCCGCCCGCGGGCCCCCCCTCCCCCTCCTCTGGGCCCTCCACGTGCCCGGCGGAGCGAGCCTGGGCGAACCGAGCCCCCGCGAACCGAGCCCCCGTGAAGGAGCGAGCCCGCGCCCTCCAGGGAGCCCCCCGCCCTCTCCCAGGGCCTCCGAGGCCAAAAGTTGCTCGTGACGTCGACCCCCAGACGTCTCGACCCGTTCCCCGTGGCCGGCTGTTCATCCCGAGTCGTCTGGCGGCCCCGAGGCCGGGCGAGGGCTCCTGGAGACCGAACGAGGCGAAAAACCTGCCGTCGTGGCTCGTCCATGACCCGCGGGGGTCTGGTGAGGCCCCCGCCTCCTCAGAAGCTGGCACCTCGCGCGCGCGCGTGCCGAAATCACTTGAACGCCCCCGCCTTCCGCCCCCGACGATGACGACGACGACGACGACGACGACGACGACGACGACGACGACGACGACGACGACGACGACTCGGGCCGCCCCCCTCGCTCCCACCCCGGCGGGTGCACGCCGCCGGGCTGGCCCTGGCTAAGGTCCTCGCGGGACACCACCGCGTTGAACCCCTTGGTGACGTCGAGGTACACCACCTTGGCGGCGCGCACAGGGGGGGCAGGAGGAGGAGCAGGAGCAGGAGCAGGAGGAGGAGTAGGAGCAGGAGGAGGAGGAGGAGGAGGAGGAGGAGGAGGAGGAGGAGGAGGAGGGAGGAGGAGGAGGAGGAGGAGTAAGAGGGCGGAGGGGGAGGGCAAGAAGGAGGGAAAGGAGGAGGAGGGAGGAGGGCCCGGCACCCCGGCTGGGCAAAGCCCGTGTGAGCTGGGCCGCCTCCCACGGCTCCACGCCCTGCTCGAGAGAGGGAGAGAGAGAGAGAGAGCCCACGGCGGGGCGGGCAACTGGCCATCGCTCGGACGTCCATTCTTAGGTCGGGCATATCCTCCTACAGGGTGAGTTTGGACGAGAAGTGAAAAATGGTCAGAAAAATACGCCAATAGAGAGACACGCCCGACTTAAGTCCATGCCCCGTGCATGTTTCGGTTTCGTGCGCTTTCTATGATCCAAGACGCCCCTCGATTTGGCGGCGCGCACAGGGGGTACGGGGAGGTGGGAAGGCTTCTCAGGAGGAGGCCGCTTCTCAGAAGGCACCGGCCTTGCCTATAGATGTAAGGACCGCGCCTTCTCTAAGGAGCAGGGGTATTGGATACCCAGAAACGGGCAACAACACCAATACAGGGGTTGCCTCCACAGGGGGAAGATGATCCTAGACTTCGGCGTTGGTGGTAATATTTCGGCCACCTTGGAGACCAGAATATGACCACCGTGGCCGGCCCACCAGGGAGGCGCAGTCGGCGGTCGCGGGGCCGGCGCTCGCGTCGGGGAGGTAGAGCGGCCGCGCGGCGGCCCCGAAGGCGCGCATCACGGCCGTGATCGACCCGTGGATCTGGCCCGTGGTCCCGGGCGGGGCGTTCACCGTGTTCACCATGCCGATGCCGACGCTGTCCGAGCAAGGAAAAGCAGCGCCAGCACGAGCTGTCGAAGCCCCGCGCGGGTTGTTGGATCGGCGCTGGGCCACTCCCGGGCGCGCGGAAGCGCGCCGGAGGCGCCGCCAAGGAGCTCCAGCGCCGATCCAAGAAACCCGCACGGAGCTCCGAAAGGTCATCTTGATGCCGTTGTTTCTTCTTCGAGCTGTTGAGGAAATGCCTCCAATAGTCTACAAGGGTGAAGGCCATCTGATCGCCCTCGCCATCGGCGAACCAGCCCGACGAGGTTGGCGTAACGCACGTCTCTCCAACAGGGCTTAGGGCTGCGCACAGGGACAGCCGCTGGATGCATTCCCAGCTGCCCTCAGTAACTCCCTACGGTAGTGTTCCCGGTCGTGAAAAAACACGACGCGGGGTTGTTGGCCGTTTTCGGCCTCCGGGGACCATTGCTGGGCCCTGGTGCCGCCCCAAAAAATAAGCCTGGCGATTAAAACAACCAGATGCAGCTGCGAAAATCGAAACCCAGGTGGAAACAAAGGGGGGGGACTCACAAAAGGGCTAAGGCGCGCTGAGAAGGACGGTGCGACATTGCTGATGGGGTCGAACGGGTCAGCTGCGACGGGTTACATCTGCATGTAACCCGTCACGGCTGATTTTACCGTCTGTCGACCCGGCCCTGCATTCGGTGGAGCTCCCTATGGGGCCACGAAGATATGAGGGGTGTGCCGAAGTGGTCTGGAGAAGGCATGCGAACGCAGCCATTTGGATTTTAGACGGAGTTTCTTATTGGGCCACGAAATGTGTGAGGGGTGTGCCGAAATTGGCACGGTCACGCATGCATTTGTGAAGGGTGTGCCGAAACAGGGGCGGTCACGCATGCGATTTCTGCCACAGGAGCCTTCGGTGAAGCTTCCCATTGGGCCACGAAACGTGCGAGGGGTGTGCTCACATGGTCTGGAGAAGACATGCGAACGCAGCCACTGGGGCCTAAGATGGAGTTCCTTATTGGGCCACGAAACGTGCGAGGGGTCTGCCAACATAGGGGTAGTGGGCGCATGCAGGCGCAGCCGCTGCGGCTTTAGATGGAGCTACCAATGGGGCTACGAAACGTTTGAGAGAGGCGCCAAAGTGGGGTGGTGGCGGCATGCGGGCGCATCCACCGGGGCCTCAGGTGGAGTTCCCTATGGGGCCACGAAACATGTGAGGGGGCGCCAACATGGGGTGGTGGCGACATGCGGGCGCAACCAGTGAGGCCTTAGATGGAGCTCCCTCTGGGGCCACGAAACGCATGAGAGTTGTGCCAAAGTGGAGCGGTGGAGGCGTACGGGCGCAACCACTGGGGCCTCACATGGAGCTCCCTGCTGGGGCCCCGAAACGCGCGATGTGGGCGTCAAAATGGGGTGGCGGCGGCACGCGGGCGCAACCACTGAAGCCTTAGGTGAAGCGCCCTATGGGGCCACGAAACGCGTGAAGGTGTGCCAAAGTGGGGTGCTGGCGGCATGCGAGCACAACCACAGGGGCCTCAGGTGAAATTCCCTATAGGGCCACGAAACGTGTGAGGGGTGTGCCAGCTCGGGGTGGTGGCGGCATGCGGGCGCCACCACTGGGGCCTTAGGTGGAACTCCCAATGGGGCCACGGAACGCGTAAAGGGTGTGCCAAAGTGGGGCGGTGGCGGCATACAGGCGCAACCACTGGGAGCTCATTACCGGGCCACGCAACGTGCGAGAGGGGCGCCAAAGTGGGGTGGTGGCGGCACGCGGGCGCAACCGCTCGGGACGTGTGTGGAACTCCCTGCAGCGCCAAGAGAAGTGTGAAAGGTGTGCCAAAGTAGGGTGGTGGGGCACGCGGGCGCCAACACTGGGGCCTTAGGTGGAGCTCCTACGGGACCACACAATGCGGTTTTTCCCCGAAGGGAACAGAATTGATGACCTCTCGCGTTGTCAACTCTGGATGCAGACCCAGCTGGCATTAAAACTGCTAAAACAATTTTTCCACCTGAACATCGCAAATGCGGGCATCAAAGAAAAACCCGGTCTTAAATAACGTTTCCTCGGCGCGCGCCCAAGGAGAAAATTATCCCGGCAAAGCAACCTAACAGCGATGTGTAGGAGCATATCTGGGAGCATTCCCCTTACGATTCGGATGAGAATCCAGTTGTAGAATTCTGCTGTTCTCGCAGTCGTAGTCGCATTCGCGATGACAGTCGCAGTGGCAACGGCAGTCGCAGTCACAGCCTCAGCCTCAGCCTGCCTCAGCCTCAGCCTCAGCCTGCCTCAGCCTCAGCCTGCCTCAGCCTCAGCCTCAGCCTGCTTCAGCCTCAGCCTCAGTCTGCCTTCAGCCTCGGCCTCAGCCTCAGCCTGCCTCAGCCTCAGCCTGCATCAGCCTCAGCCTCAGCCTCAGCCTGCCTCAGCATCAGCCTGCTCAGCCTCAGCCTCAGCCTGCCTCAGCCTCAGCCTCAGCCTGCTTCAGCCTCAGCCTCAGTCTGCCTTCAGCCTCGGCCTCAGCCTCAGCCTGCCTCAGCCTCAGCCCTCAGCCTCAGCCTCAGCCTCAGCCTGCCTCAGCCTCAGCCTGCCTCAGCCTCAGCCTCAGCCTGCTTCAGCCTCAGCCTCAGTCTGCCTTCAGCCTCGGCCTCAGCCTCAGCCTGCCTCAGCCTCAGCCTGCATCAGCCTCAGCCTCAGCCTCAGCCTGCCTCAGCATCAGCCTGCCTCAGCCTCAGCCTCAGCCTGCCTCAGCCTCAGCCTCAGCCTGCTTCAGCCTCAGCCTCAGTCTGCCTTCAGCCTCGGCCTCAGCCTCAGCCTGCCTCAGCCTCAGCCTGCAGCCTCAGCCTCAGCCTCAGCCTCAGCCTGCCTCAGCATCAGCCTGCCTCAGCCTCAGCCTCAGCCTGCCTCAGCCTCAGCCTCAGCTGCTTCAGCCTCAGCCTCAGTCTGCCTTCAGCCTCGGCCTCAGCCTCAGCCTGCCTCAGCCTCAGCCTGCCTCAGCCTCAGCCTCAGCCTGCCTCAGCCTCAGCCTCAGCCTGCTTCAGCCTCAGCATCAGCCTTCAGCCTCGGCCTCAGCCTCAGCCTGCCTCAGCCTCAGCCTGCATCAGCCTCAGCCTCAGCCTGCCTCAGCATCAGCCTGCCTCAGCCTCAGCCTCAGCCTGCCTCAGCCTCAGCCTCAGCCTGCTTCAGCCTCAGCCTCAGTCTGCCTTCAGCCTCGGCCTCAGCCTCAGCCTGCCTCAGCCTCAGCCTGCATCAGCCTCAGCCTCAGCCTCAGCCTGCCTCAGCATCAGCCTGCCTCAGCCTCAGCCTCAGCCTGCCTCAGCCTCAGCCTCAGCCTGCTTCAGCCTCAGCCTCAGTCTGCCTTCAGCCTCGGCCTCAGCCTCAGCCTGCCTCAGCCTCAGCCTGCCTCAGCCTCAGCCTCAGCCTGCCTCAGCATTCAAAATGTGGCCCGAGAGTGGAATTCTGGGAACTCGAAGAGCACGAAGTGGCCTACAGTTGGCTCCGGGCATTCAAAATCATGCCCAGGAATGGAGTTCTGGGAACTCGAAGACCACGAAGTGGCCTACAGTTGGCTCCGGGCATTCAAAATGTGGCCCGGGAAATGGAGTTCTGGGAACTCGAAGAGCACGATGTGGCCTACAGTTTACAGTTGGCTCCGGGCATTCAAAATGTGGCCCGGGAATGAAGTTCTGGGAACTCGAAGACCACGAAGTGGCCTACAGTTGGCTCCGGGCATTCAAAATGTGGCCCGGGAGTGGAGTTCTGGGAACTCGAAGAGCACGAAGTGGCCTACAGTTGGCTCCAGGCATTCAGAATGTGGCCCGGAAATGAAGTTCTGGGAGGTCGAAGAGCACGAAGTGTGTGACTGTTTGCGAAAAGCGCATTCGGACACGAGTTCGGACACAGCTCCCCGGGTCCCGCCCCGACCCCCCTGTGGAGTCATCTGCTGCTCTCTTTTGACACCACTAGAAACATATCAGCAAAAGCTGCTAGGTAAAAACAGTCCTAAGTAACCTCACGCCAGACCAAAAGAACGACTGCGGCGGTATCTGTGGAGCACCCTACAATGTCAACCGCCCCCAAAAAAAATCCTGCCTTTTTTTTGTGATGGGCAGCGCATGGGGCAAACATGTACACTGATAGCCCCACAGGCAAGTCGCCGACTGCCACACGACAGCGAACAACGGCTGGACACTGTGCTGCAAGTACGCAGCTCGAGGCACGAGGAGGAGGAGGAAGAAAAGGGACAGAGGGGAGGGAGAGACGCACGAGCCAATGTGCTCGATCCCACAATTCATGCCCTTAAGCAGCGGAGGGGGCAAACTGCAAGCAAAACCAAAATTAATGAAACTCCGCGTGCAAAGAAGGGAAAGAGGGGGCAGCACGAGAGACAGCGGCGGAAGCGGCGGCAAGAGAGGAGAGGAGGGCAACAGCCAGGGGCGCGAACCGCCAGCCCTCTGCGAGCGACACCTACAGCATTCGGGGGGGAGCGAGGACGAGACAGGCAGAGGAAAGAGAGAAAGAGAGGGACGGAAGGCAAAAGCGGTGCCTAGACCCAGGCGGGGACGCACTCAGAACCCGTACTACTCGAAAGCAGACGCATTGCTGGTCAGCGTGGTGTTGCCTGTCGTGAAGCTCACCGTGAGAGCGGCCGCGGACGTCGCCGTTCTACTGCTGACGTCGGAGCTGGTGTAGGCGCTGGCGTTGGTGCCGGCGTAGGCGCAAGCGTTGGTACTGGCATCGGTGCTGACGTCGGCGCCGCCGGCACTGTCGTAGGCGCTGCCGTTGGTGCCAGCGTAGGCACAGGCGTTGATATTGGCAATGGTGTTGGCGCCGGCACTGGCGGAGGCGTCGACGTTGGAGTTGGCGTTGGTGCTGGCATCGATGATGGTGTAAGGGCTGGCGTTGGAGCCAGTGCAAGCGCCGGTTTAGGTGCTGGCGTCGGTGCTGGCGTCGGCCCGGGTGTTGGCGCTGGCGTTGGTGATGACGGCGTCGGTGCTGGCGTCGGTGCTGGCGTAGGCGG